TTCTATCTCTCATAGTTTCGATGATATTCACGTCGGAAGAAAAAAACCGATTTTTTAAAGGGGTGATTTCATTCCGTCAAAACGGAATAGAGCATCAACAAAAAATAGTTTTGTACTACGGATGAACTGCTACTTTTACACAAAGTTTCAGACTTTTCTGAATTTTCGGGTTCCCTAACTTCCCTTGATAGTCATTGTACTACATTTGGATTATTTACAACTGTCTTTGCACCGAAATCTTTTGGATAAAGGCAAAACTGAAATCTAGAACATAATAATGTCCAAATAAGGTACATATACGAAAATATAAAAAAAACTTTCAGATTTGGAGTAAAAACCTGATTATTATTGCGTTTTGAACTCAAAGTACTAGTTTTTTTCGGGAACTTTTATCTCTATAATCCACTAGACGGTATACATTGAGTAATGCGCTGATTGTGTTTACTTTTATCAAACCAAGAAGGAAATGGAACTGCACAACGATCGTGCTAAAAGACAATTATACTGTGGATTTTGGCATGACCTACCAAAACGTCTATCTAGAGCGGTAGAACACTTCTTTTATCGGTAAATCTTTAGATTTTCATCAAACTGACAAGTATCGAACAGTTTAATAATTGAGCAACGTTGCTGTCTTTGTATAGGCTTGGAGTGCATATCGCTCAAAATCCATACAAATGGATAAGCGGATGTCTCGTGGTAGTATTAATCTGTATAATCCTCGGCCTGTTTCGTTTCCGGCAAGAAAAGAATATTGTTAAACTGTGGGCTCCACCAGATTCTACCTTTGCGAAAGCTACCGAATGGTTAATGTCGCATTACCTGGAAACTCTGCGAATTGAAACGTTTATTCTAACTGGTGATAATGTTTTAGAACAGGAAACGCTTATTAAGGTAAATGTAAAATGGAACAGGTAATTTGTTTCTCAATTGATTTTGAATTTATTTTCGATTGTCATGCAATATTTATTGTGAACTATCAGCAATGCAGAGTACATTTTTTAATCATATGTTGCAGTTAAACGAGATCACTAAACAAATAATTTCTAGTCAGACACCGATCGAAAACATTTCTTGGACCGATGTCTGTATGAAGTAAGCATAAGTTGTAAAATTTTTGAAAGATTGAAATTATTACATATTTTAAAATTTTGCATGAGTTTTTTTACAAAAAAAAAGAAAAAATGATT